GGAACAGAGGGAGAAGCAAGCTTCTCCTGATTTGCTGGGGTCCGCTAATGTCTGGAAATTTTCCATCGGCCACAGGCACAGTTTCAAAAGATGTTTTCCTTCTCGGGCAGGGACCTGACCAACCAGCAGTCACCTTGGGCCAGAAACTGCCGAGTCACTTTTGCAGCAGGTGCCATCATCCTATGTGAGCCTTCTGGTCTCGTGGTTTGGTTGGGGCATCGTGATGCGGCCCAAGGATGGCAGGTGCTTGGACTGCGGAGGCTGCGGAAAGCACAGGGGTGAAGTGAAGAAAAGCACATTCCAACTCCAACGAGCAATCAACTTGTCTGCGTATGAAGCTGAGCAAATCTGACCTGATAAGTAAGGTAGCAGGGAGAGAGACGCAGTATGAAGTCGGAGGGGCCATGCCTTTTGTGGGCCATGCCCACTCCAGGCACCTGCCAGACATCCCCCACACAAGGCAAGAGGCAGTGTTTTCAGCAAAAGTGACCTTCCGGTCCCTGGAAAGTAAGCAAGTGACTGATCATAACTCACACATCAGTTGTGTTATACACAGGGAAGCTAGTGAGCAGTAGTATGTAGTGGCACACATCTGCAATCCCAGTAGGCTAGGAGGCTGAGGCAGGAGGGTCGAAAATTTGAATCCAGCCCAGGAAACTTTACAACTTAGTGAGACCCCATTTCAAAATTTATAAGCGGAGGTGGTGTGTGAAGACCTTGAGTTCAATCTCCAGTACCAAAAAAAAAACCTAGCAGGAAGTAAAAAATATATATTACCCAGATGTATGACTTCCCAAATTATTGATCTTTAAGTCAACTAAAAGTAAGGGAGGTAAGAGGCCTCTTTGGGGTGTTCACTCAGAAAGAAGGGGTGAGGCAATCAGGTTTGCCTGTGTCTCCGGTGGCGTCTCAGGCTGCCGGTTCTGAGTCCTTCCACACAGCTGTGTGGCCTCTGGCACGCTACCTGCACCGGCCCCTCAGCCAGAGAAATTACTTGACAAATGCTTCTGGGGTTGGCCTAGGCTGGAGACCAGCGGAACGGACTGCAATCGTGTCTTGGGCTGGTGAGCCAAGAACCCTGGGCACATCTGTGATCCTCGGAAGCCAGAGCAACCGGCCTGTCCTACGATTTCTCTGTCTTCCAAAAGAAGTCAAGGGGACATTTGCCAGTCAGCAAAAGAGAACAGATCATTCTAGGTGGAGGGAAGAAGAGAAACAAGACAAAAAGGAAGGCTGGGCTGGGCTATTTCTTGAGAGTGGAGGGTGGAATCGATTGAGTTTTCACAGATAAATCAAAGCATGCTCACTATTAGTTCAATATTTCTACTCATATTTGTAGCCAAGTTGTTGGAGAAAGTGGTTCTCGATCCTGTTACTGAACAGTGGCTGTGATGTTCACAGAAACCACATGCATGCCATGAACTGCCCCCCAGCAAGGGGTAGCTGTGGCTACCTTTGGAGCCAGCTGCCAATCCATGCCCCGGCTCCAACCCAGATGGGGTTGCTGCTTTCTCTGGACTAAATGGCTTTATCCATCCAATTGCTCTTTGATTCCAAAAATAAATGTCAACCACTAAGCTGCCATGAGGCCTTGTGTTTTTTGCTGATAACTTGATGACGAACAGGATGGATGATTCTCCTGCAGCAAATGGTCGCATTCAAAAGGAAGGGGCCTGGGTTGTAAGGCATGATCAGAATAAACAGGCGAAGAGAATTAAAGTGTTTTGAAGGGAAGAATTGGATGACTTTGGATAAGGGCGAGGGCAGGGCTCCTGAGAGGTAGCATTTAAGGTGATAGCAGGATTTAAAGAATCATGGACACCAGGACTTCCAGGCATTCTTAGAACCCTGGCAAGTACAGACCCCTCACTAGAAAGGCTTGGAAGGTTCCAGAGCAGAGTGCTCCCGCGCCATCTTCCAAAGCCCAGGCTGCCCTCGTGCCCTCCAGGATGTTTCCTGTGACCCAGACATCTCCTGTTCTTCCAGAAACCACCCCTGAGGAAACTCAGTACCGACGGCGCCCTCTGCATGTGGTCTGCTTGGAGGTCCTGCTCTGGGCCCCAGGCTTCTGTCCTCACTGCCAGTGGTGACTCCCGCTTCCGGGATTTGATTGGTACCAGGTTTGGAAACTGTCGGTAAATTGAGGCACAGAGCAGTCAAGAAACTTGCCCCGTGTTGCACCGTGGTGGTCGCACAGTGGGCTCTTGACCACCATTGGTGCCCTGCCTCGGTGGCTGCGCCGGAGACAGCTCATATCGGCTTACACAGGCTGATGGTCAGATTTTCAGGGATTTTGGAAGGCAGCTGTTAACATTCAGGCATCGTTTAACACTTAAATCATATAAACTAACAAACCATATTAAAACAAAGATAACAAGGACTCAAAACTCTTCCTAAGCATTTTACTATCATGTAGGTGCTTGAGAAAATCGATGTCCGCTGGATCGGGTGGGAAAACACTGCGATGGTACTGCCAGGTGTCTCTTCCCAGTGGTGTCCAGTGACTCTTATGCTGGTAGTGTGAAATTTTTCACAGTAGGAATATTTGAAATCTGGCAAAAAAAAGGGGACTTTTTGCCCCCAAAGAATCAGTTATACAATAGTGATCAGCGTATTACTACCTACATCTGAGCTACCATGTCGATTTGTAGATCTCTGGCCAACACGATTGCAGGTCTTTTAAGGAAAAGCTGGAAGTTTGGATTCCTATCTAAGATCTCTCAAGTTTTATATATTAGGGACAGACTACTTCTTGTTTTGGTTTTTTTTTTTTTTGTCTGTTTGTTTTTTTTTGTACCGGGGATCGAACTTGGGTCCTTGCACTTGCCAGGCAGGCCACCAAACCGCTGAGATTAATCTCCGGCCCCAGACTACTTCTTTAAAGTATTATGTAGGCCAAGCCAAGCCTTTCCTACAGGTGATCATAGCCCTGGGATGAAAGTTGATAAACCAATGCAGTTCCGTGCATCAAGCCATGAGATTAAATCATGGGCTCATTAGCTAGCTGGAACTCAGCTATTCCCTATTTGCTGTGAGGAAATCACATGACCCTTTGCTCAGGTGTCTTGTGAAACGCGCAAGCCTCAGCCACTCTGTGCGATGGAAGAACACGGGTTGGGTGACTGGTGGATTAGGTTGCCAGTTCCGAGTCCTCCCACACAGCTGTGTGACCTCGGGCGCAGTACCTGCACCGGCCCCTCAGCCTGCTTACCTAATGCCTCTGCAGACTTTGTGAGGATTAAGGGGATCTTAATGTAAAAGAGGTCAAGTATTTGGTTCTGAGGTCCCGAGGGCTCACTTAGCTCGACTATCAGACAAGCTCATGGATATTTCTATATCTAGAGAGAGATGATCCTGAAGTGTGGCCTCCAGGCAGCGAGGTGAGCGTGGAGCTGGAGCCAAAGGGGTCACGCATTCCCTCAGCAACCTCTTCCGGAGCATCTGCTGTGTGCGCCAGGCTGGACAGGGAGGGCTGCGGACTTGGCGTTTACCCTCCTGGGCCTCTCAGTGTCCTGGAAAGACACAGCAGCACGAAGGTGCCGGGCACCCTCTGCCTGACTTCCCCGGATTATCGCCACGCCCACCTGCAGCTGCCTCTGGGATTCTTCTACTCTACAGCGGGAAAACTGAGACCTGAAGAGGTTAAACAGATCTGAACCCGGGCCCGTGAGACTCGAAGCTTGGCTTCTCCGTCCTGGAGTGGCTCCATGCCCCGTATGCCACGTATCTCATCGCTTTCCCTTGCGTGCTACTGAGGAGTCAAAGCTGGTGCACCACCCAGGCGCCTGCACAGAAGAGGGGATGAGATCCCTGGACTCGAAGAGCTCACCCAGGGCCGGTGAAGACAGAAGGAGCCTCCTGAGAACAGGTCCCTGAGAGAAGCTCCTGGGGAGGAGGGACGGGCGTTGGTGGGCAGTGGGCACAGGGACCCTGTGAAGACGGAGCGAGTTTGGGGGAGGGGGAGGAGGTGTCCTTAGAGGAGGGGCATCCTGACAGATGGAGGAGTGAATCCAAACCTCCAAAACATGCCAGGCTTGGAGGTGCCCGAGAGCAGGCAGCCAAGCCGTGAGGGAGGGAGCGAAGCGAAAGTGGAGGCCTTTCTGAGCAGTGTTGGCTTTTACAGGAAAATGAAAGCTGGAGAAAGAGGTCATGAGAGGCAAGGGAGTTTCTAATTTCCGTGTGTAGTTTTGGGCCCCTCTGAGCACAGTGCTGGCTTTTAGAGGAAAATGAAAGCTGGAGAAAGAGCTCATGGGAGGCAAGGGAGTTTCTAATTTACATCTGCACTTTTTGGCTTGGACTGTCTGGCTTAGGGTGGAGAGGCGAATGAGCCCTTGTAAGTGGATATGGAAACTGATCGAAAAGGAGAAATAAAAATACAGAACAGCATTTGCAACAAAGCATTCTCCCCGCTGGACAGCGTGTGCCTTCATTCGGTGCCTTTGCAATGTTTGCCCCTGTGCCCAGCAGGTGGTTGACAGTCGGTCAGTAGTTTTTGCACTGAACTGAATTCACAGGGCCCCTCGGGGAGCTCTGTGGTTAGGTCCCAAGATGAGAAGGGCTCACAAGGACCCAAAGGAGGACTCCTCTCTGGTGTGTCCAGGACAGGAGGAGAGAGAGAAAGTCACCCCCAAGTCTTCTCAGAAAGAAGTGGGGAGCCAGGATTTGATTCTGGGACTTGGGCCTGTGACGTACAATGAGGCACATGCTTCCCTGACCCATGTTATTGTGCACACTTCAGTTTCTAGAGTAACTTCTTTTTTTTTTTTTTGGTACTGGGGATTGAACTCGGGTGCTTGCAAGGCAGGCCACTGAACCACGGAGCTAAATCCCCGGCCCCCTAGAGTAACTTTTTAGCAGGAGCTTCTGGGGCTGGAGAGGAGAGGGCCTCGTTTTCATGTTTCGATAACAGAGAAGAGCGGTGACTTGTTCAGGTCACACAGCTACTGAGCTGGCGCTGCGGCTTGTGTCTCCACCTAGCTTCCATCTGTAGTGATTTCCAACTCAACAGGGAGCTAGACCAGAAGTACCAGCTGGGCACAGGGAGGTAATATTTTCAAGTTTCTCCAGAGGGGCTTTTATAAGCATCAGAGAACGTTAGGGTTGGCTGGTTGGGAAGAACAGGCAGTAACCGGGGCTGACCAGTGCTTCCTGGCTCCAGTGGCTCTCCCCGGGTTGAGGCTCAGGGATACAGAATAAAACAGAAGCAGGAGCCACAGGCTAGAAAACCACAGGAGCCATGGCAGAGGAGCTCGACAAAGATCCGCTGTGGAGCAGAAAGGGAGGCTGTGGGTTCTAGGCCTCCGTCCTGGTGAAGAGCCCTGGACCACGGATGGCCCAAGCCAGACCCTCCTCCATGTCTGTCCTGAAAGCCACCCCTGCCTGACTTACTGCAAGAAATAGCTGCTTCCCAATACAGCCAAAGAAATCCCCAGGGGTCTCGGGTGTGGTGGTGGGGAGGAAGTAGACTTCCTATGTGAGTTACCAGAGCTCCTGGAGCCATTCCAAGGCGGGAGTGTGGGCGTCAGACACAGGCCTTTAAAACCAGACGGGCCAGCCACTGACTCCGAGGACCCAGAGGGCTCACTGGTAAGAATCTCATTCTTGGGGTACCTTTACTCGGTGGGGGTACAAGGAGCAAGGCCGGAGAGGGTCTGTGAGAGGAGTCCCCTGGGAGCAGGGTCCAGAGAGCGGCAGGCCCCGCTGCCTCCTGCACTGCTTTCCGGGAGGAGGTCTCAGTGAACGTGTGCAACAGTGGGGTTTGGTGCTGCTGGTCCTTCTCAGCCAAGGGACGTGAACTGGGGGTCCTGGGAGCGCAGGGTCTCCTGTATGTGGGCTTGGAGCCCCTGTCCCTGATGTGACCAGGCTGCCTCTGGCCTCTGGGTCTGTCTTGGCGTTTCCATCCGTCTATCTCTGTGCTCCCCACCTTTCATTACCGCAGCCACCACTCCACTCTGGAATTAACTTTCTGTTCTTCTTACTCCTCTCTGTGGTCATTTGATAAAAATAGCCGAGGCCACTTCCTTCTGCTGGGGCGATACTCTAGGCCCCAGCAATGTCTGGGATCCCGGGCTGCTGTTTGCGCCGATGCCTTCGCCACCGATCCATGAAACTTGTCTTGTTCTTTCTGGCTTGTTTGCTGGGGCCTCCAGCTGCTGCACCACTGGCAGCAGCCGCCCAGGGGCCTCTGCAGTGTGCCTGGCTGTTGGTTTATTCAGATTTGGTGAGGCCAACACATCAGAAGATGATTGGCATTTTAAGGGCTCCTCGATGCTTACAGTTCCCGGGGGAACTGGGATGCCACCCGGGGTCAGGATGCAAAAGAGGGGAGCGGAATGAGCCACCCAGAATCTTCGTGGCTTGTGAATGAACGGCATCTCAGGGCGGGTAGCTTAGGAATGACTCGTGAATCATTTCTGTTGGCGGCCCAGGACAGCAGCGGGCACACGAGAGCTAGATGAAGCAGAGTGGTATGAAGGCTGGGGATCGGTTGATTTGCACAGGAGAGGCACGCTGCTGGAGGGTCAGCTGAGGTCTCGGGATTAGCAAACCCCACCATTAGCAAACCTCTTTCTGATTAGCAAGATCCCCAAGCTGTCCATGCAGCGTAGAAGATAAAAAAATACAAAATATATTTAGTGCCCAGAGGTTGCTCAGACACCTGGAATAGTCAGTCAGTCAAAGGAGGAGCTGCACCGTCCTGCGCCACACCCGTGGGGAATTCATTTCACCCGCCTGCGTGCTGCAATTTCCTGAATCTGTAAAATCAGTAACTGTTATTCATTCATTCGCTTAAGGGGACCAATGGCAGGCTTATGTTTATCGGCCTGTCAAGGTCACTGGTGGATTTAAAGACACAGTGGACAGTACCTGACACCTTGGAGATAACCAGTGAGTGGTAGCTGGAGTCTTTGCCTTGTCACAGCTCCAGGAAGCAACAGAAAGATTGGTGTGGACTGTGGGGTCTAGGATCCTTTTCCTTGGCTATTTAGAGCAAGGACTGTGGTTGGACAGAATCCTCAGGAATGTTCTTGGTACTCAGAGGGGCTGTTGGACCAAGGCCAGCCCAGAGGGTTTAAGGCTGTGTGTTTGAAGGCCAGGCCTTGGGAGGTGCCAGGGACTCAGGCTGAGCCCTGGCACAAGGGACCCCTTAACTCAGGGAGACTGTGTGGCACCAGAGGCAGAAGTCCTGGCAGCCCACAGGACAACTAAGAAGTTGTGGATCAACAGGGACTTTGGGATGCTAGGAAGGGACAGAAGCGAGCAGCAGAATCACCCAGGGGCCAAACGAGAGCCAGGCATGAGGCTGCAACACAGAATTTCCTCCGCCTTTCGGCTGTGACTACCTGTGGTCTCCAGACCTATAGTGCTGTTTTTGCACAGATCCTAAGGAGGGACGCGTAGAAGGCAGAGCACAGGAAGGGACCCAGCCCTTGTGGTGAGAATTTGTCCCTAGGGTGGGGTGATGCAATATGGCAATATGGGTTTCAATCCAGCCTCTGCTTCTTACTAGCTGTGCAACCATTAGAAGGCAGAGCACAGGAAGGGACCCAGCCCTTGTGGTGAGAATTTGTCCCTAGGGTGGGGGTGATGCAATATGGCAATATGGGTTTCAATCCAGCCTCTGCTTCTTACTAGCTGTGCAACCTCTGGCAGGTTCCCCACAGTCTCTGAGCCTCAGTTTCCCCCTGGAAAATGGGGACAGTGATACTGGCAGCGCTGTCATGAGCATTGGGTCCACTTGCTTTTCAGGTGGACACAGTGCCAGGGGTCTAGGGGAACATCCTCGTTTTAAATTCTTTTAAAAATCAAGAGAATCAATGACTGTAATGACCATGAATATGTAATAATGAGCACCGCTTGACATATATTTGTCTTTCCACCAACACAACTGTCAAATATAGATACATCTCAACATGCACATGTATATATAAAACACACACACACATATACACGTGTGTGAGAGACAGAGAGACAGAGGCCTGGAGGGGCCCACAAAAGCCATAAGAGGCCTTGAAAGGTCTTAGCATGTGGTGAATACTTGGGTCCATTCCCAGAGCACCCTTCCTGGGTGTGCATTGTCCTTGGTTTTAGCACAAGGCTCTGAGTGGCCAGCTTCTGCCTTCAGAGGACTTGCCTGAGAGCCTTGAAAATAGGCAGCAGCAGCAGCACCGCTCAACCAGCAGGCACGGACGCCAATACCAGCTCCCTGCTGCTCTATGTCTGGCCTCTTCTCCCGCTACATCTTCTTCCGTCTCTCCTCAACAGTTCATCTAGGTTATGTCAGTTCCTGCCCTTCGATTTTTGCCACCAAATCTCCACTGAGATTCCTTACCTGTTTCTCTGGGTCATTCAGACATCTTCTGTAGACGGCATGTGGGTCGGGGTATTCGTGCCTGGCAGCACTTGTGATGGGTAAATTTCGCTGCCACCTCCGGTGGGGACAGCTTCCCACGAATGCTTTCACTCGTGCTGCTCTCCCTCCAGAGCCCCCCAGCCCCTGCACTGGACCAACTCCTGATGGCTTTTGCCTCTTGTCTCTTCATCCTTGCCCAACATGGGGGAGCAGCAGATTAGGGAGGCCAGGGGTGGAGCTGGGTGGGTCTGAATGGGCCTTGGGACCAACAGCTGAAAGCCATGGCGTGGATGTGTTTTATTTTTCAGAACCGCAGAGATGAAAGGCCTCCTCATACTGGCTTTGTTCCTGGCTTATAGTAAGTGCTGGCCCCATTACCCGTGGGTGACTTTTCCACCCCATGGGAGGGATAGGGTAGTGGAAAGAAGACCAGCCCTTGAGGTCATGGAGTCTGGCATGCGAATCTTGGCCCTGCACTTACCGTGTAGACGCAAACATTAGCAGGAGACTCTGTGTCCCTGAGCCTTGGATAACTCGTCAGACACAGGTAACACTGTGGACAGGGAGGGCTGTTGCACACCCAGATGCTGTATGTTGGGGTGTGAAGGTTGTGAACATGAAGATATGCAGCTTGAAAATCTGGGGAGTAGATTTATTCCTGCAATACAAAACAAAATAAGGCCAAAACAAAACAAATGACCTCAAGATAGAGCACAAGATCTGTATAGAAATAATCGCCCCTGATTCCCAGATTACTCTGCTCAGGCCTGCCCAGGTCTTCTACACACCTCACCATTGGCTACTTCCCAGCTGGGAGGTGACTGTCCCCTGGCTTTCGGCTCCCCTGCTGCAGCCCTGTAACCCTGCACACAGCCCCTCTTCCCACAGGCTGTCCTGCCTTTGATGTCTTGCCAGATCTCTGGAGTCCCCAGGAGGAACCAGAGACAGTGTACGGAGAACACCCTGGGCCCACTGAGAGCCCTCCAGCCTCAGTTTCCCAAACTGTAAAATGACGGAACTGACGTCAGTGGTTACTAAGGTTCACATTCTGATGTAAGACCCTGTAACTTCTATTCTAAAAGGTCCTAGGCAAGAGGAGGAAGGGGTATATTGCTGGGAGGAACAGGAAGTTCCTGTCTGCCTACCTGCTTCCCTGTGGATTATACCGAATATGTCTCTGTCCCTTAGGATGGGTTTGTCACTGTGCTCAGAATTTATATACTGTCTTATTTTAACCCTCACCATAACTCCAAGAAGTAGGTGTTAACTTTGGGCTCCTTTTCCCAGTTGAAGGAACTGAGGCTCCGAGAGATTAAGTGGCTGTTCACCATACTTCAGATTTGCGACAGGGTCAGGATTTGAACCCTGGTCCGCTCCTTTTCCAAGTTTTAACTCTTAACCACTTCTCTGCACTGCTCGCCCTCACCTCCTTGCTCCCCTCCCAGTAACTGGGAGAGTGAAAGAGGGCGAGGTAAAAGGGCAGGAGATTCTGAGAGGTGGGCCTACAGCAGGGTGCCCAGGGTCACCCAGGGACATGGGCTGTCTTGCAGGTGTGCCTGCCATCCCAGGGAGCTTGCTAAAGCTGAGTGCCATGATCGAGGATGTGACTGGCATGGATGCCCTGATGAACTACGGTTTCTATGGCTGCTACTGTGGCTGGGGTGGCCAAGGGACCCCCAAGGATCCCACTGACTGGTGAGCTGATTGTCTTAATTGTCTTCTTAGGGCCCAGGTTCTGCGCTGTCATCACTTCATCTAATCCCTCTCAGTCCGTTCTAGAAGCAGTAAAGCACCATTTTTTACTTGGGAAAACTGAGTCTCAGAGAAGCTAACTGGCTTGCTAACATGTATGTGCCAAGTAATCCCCAAACAACCCCAAGATCTCCATGGCTGATGAGTCACGGGATTTATTGCATCCTAAAAAATGGTACTTACTGATAGGCACTTTTAAACAGTCACATTCGTTTGTTTTGCTTACGAATTTGCCCTCCGGGTGGGGTGTGGTGGGTTGGTTTATCTCTATTTCACTCACTTTCCCCTTGAGGACTTGACTAGGGCTGGATACTGTCTACATGGCGGGTGAGTTGTTGTTCCTGTATCCTGGCTGGGAGTCCAGCCGAGGTTGTGAACTGGGGTGGGGGTGGGGGGGTCTCAGTTCCTTTCACTGCAGACTCTTGAGAATATTTAGACTTCCTTACAGTATGGCACCTGTTGGGTTCTAAGATTGCATGTTCCCAAACTATAAGATAAGAGAGAAAAGCAATTTTATCATTAACCTCAGAAATTCCTGTGGTATTTGCGCTATCTTCTTGGTTGAAGCAGACATGGAGGTTTTTAAAAAGGAGACCTAGGTTAATCAGCAGGTGCAAAATACAATTAGGAAGGAAGGGTGAGTTCTGAGATTCTATTACATACAGGGTGACCATAGTTAATAATATAATAAATATTTCAAAAGAGCTGGGAGAGAAGAAGTTTAATGGTCTCACGACCAAGAAAAGATGAGTGCTCGAAGTGATAAAAACGCTAATGAGCCTGATTTGATCACTATATAATATACATGGATCAGAGTAGCACATTTTCTTCCAAAAACACGTACTGTGAGTTATTATGTGTCAATTAAAAACAAAAAGAGAGAGGGGACCTAGATTCCATTTCTTGATTGGGAAGTGTCAACAGTTCTAGAAGGACCTGTGAGGTGAGAGATACTTTGCCTTGGAAAACATCCTATCGAGTTAACAGTTCCGATACTGCTGGATGTACACACATAATAGAAGGCAAGGGGCATAAATTAGACAAGTGATGGCAGGTGACTGGATCCAGGTTTCTTGCTTCTGGAGTGGGATTTGCAGAAAAGCAAAAGGGAATCTTGAATGAACCAGTGGATTAGTGTTGAAGACATCAGTATGAACTCCCCTTTAGCTTAATATAGGTATAGATGGTAACATATGGAAATAGAAATATGTGTATGTGCCCAGGTCAATATAAACACAAATATTTTGCCCTGGCCATGGAGAGAGGCTAAAAGAAATGACAACCTGGTAGCAAACTGCACACCTAGTGCCTAGATCTGGTCTCCTTTGCATCTCTTCAGTCAAAGGAACCAAGGGTCCTTGTAGATGTGGCTTATCCAGGATGAGGGCAGGAGATTTCCAAGATGAGACTGGGGCTTCTCATAGGGCCAGAGAGTAAGGAATTGCTCAGAAGAAAACAAAATCCCACATTGATAAAGGTATGTCACAGGCATTAACTGACTGGAAGCTGGAACCATTTGAGCAACAAAATAAATAAGTCATCATCCCTATCTTACCATGAAAGAGAAAAACATCAGCCAAATCCCAATAACTAGGCATTTTACAAAACTCCTGACCAATATTCCTCCAAAGAATATCATCAAAAACAAGTGAAGAGGGAACCGGGGATTTAGCTCAGTGGCACCATGCCTGTCTTGCAAGTGGAAGGTCCTGAGTTGTATCCCCGGTACCCCCCCAAAAAAAAAGTGAAGAGGGACCTAAGAAGACAACTAAATGTGGCATTCAGGATAGGATCCTTGGAAGGAAAAAGGACATTAAATAAAAGCCAAGGAAATGTAAATATGGACATTTTATGGTCAGTGAAACAATGATGTAGTATTATTTAATTAAAAGATCAGTATTGGTTCACCGGTTGTAACAAATGCATCAAACTATTAACAGGTGCTGGGGTTCCCAGAGGACCCATCTAGGATTTTGTTGTCCTGTTCACAGAACTGGCCAAGACACCCAAAGAATATAGAAGTTTTACATTTATTCATGGTACAAGTAGGGAGAAAAGGGAGAAGTACTCTCAAAAAAAAAAAAAAAAGTGCTCTGCAGAGTGAGTGTGGAAAAAGAAAATACACCCTGCATGCAGAGTGGGTTATTGCAAAAGGAAGAAGACAGCTTCCTCGAGGCCAGAGGCTGCCATCTTCTGTGCCTCCTTTCTGATGTCAGATCTAGGCCATCCTATCAAAAAACCTGCCTAATCTTGTGCCAGGAGAATTGAAAACTGCACTCGCCCATTGGTATCGGGTGAAGGGCTTAGAAGCTCTTCTGCCCTACGTCCTGCCTGCACAGCAGTTTGCCACACCCTAATCTCCTGTCTCCTGTCTCAATTCTATTAATACAAGATGTTAACAATAGGGGAGACCGAATGTTTCCCCTGTGTGATCTCATCTGTGACTTTTAAAAACGTAAATGCAGTCTGCCACTCTCACCATACTAGAGGGCAAAATTTTGCTCAGAAAAAAGTTCCACGTGAAACACGTCGATTGAGGCCCTAGGTTCCTTCCATGTTATGACTCACCCACCCACTATGACCTGAATCCTCCGCTGTGTCATCTCTACCCAGATGAAAAATGGAGAAAGGGGGAAAGTGGAAGATAGATGGGAAGGTTCCATGGTAGGTCTGGAAGCAGTGTACCTGGTTTCTGCCCAGAGTTCCCTAGCCACAGCCTAGTCACGTGACCACACATACCTGCAAAAGAGTCTGGGAAATGTAGTCTGACTCATGAGGAAATAGTTGGTCAGTAGCAGCCCCAGTAGAAGAGAGTACAGTACACAGACATATTACCAGATCTCATCTCTGCCCACCCACACCCACTAAGGTGGCCTCTGCTAAAGGAGCATAGTTGAATTTTTGCACCTTTTAAAAAGTCAACCTAAATAGCAAAGAGAGAGAGGGAGAAGGAGAGGGAAAGGGAGAGGGTTGGGAGGGGGAGAGGAAGAGGGGTGGGGAGAGAGAGAGACTCCAAAAAATAATGATATTAATTTGGGGAGAGCAGAACATTGCAATAAAAATGAAAGAGCCTTAGTAGACTATAGGCATATTCCAGGAGGTAGAAGCATGGGGAAGTTTAGTAGCCAAGGGGAAATATTTACATAAATTGCTTAGAGACAAAGCTCATTGGTCCTGGAGACCCAAGGAAGGAGATGGTGCAACCTCATTGGAGGAAATGCTGTTGCATCTGAATTGTTGCAGTCTTAAAGAATGTTAAAGATATACTTGTTCCAGTAATCTGTGGATACAAGCAAGCTGTGCAAAGTGTGGGTTGCATGTAGGACAACAGTAATTCCTAGTGGGGCTTTAAACAGTCCTTGAGAAAGTGCTTATCTCAGGCAGCCTTACCCCCCCGCCACTGGCTACCTCCTGGCTCTAATTTTGTTTAGGTCGAAAAGAACAATTTCATCTTATCATCTTTCACAGAGACAAGGGGTCAAGAAGGTCCCCCTCCTGCTCAGAACCCAAGTCCCCTTGTGTTGGCAGGTGCTGCTGGACGCATGACAAATGCTACAAGCATCTGGAGAGGAAAGGCTGCAGAACCCTAACACAGTCCTACAGTTACAGAATCACACAGGGCCTGGTCACCTGCGGTAAGACGGGTCTTCCTGTTTAGGCCCGCCTCTGAGGTCAGCTGCCTGTATGTCGGGGGACAGATTTGAGGATGAAAGAGCCAGGATTGTCACAACCATACCTGACCTCTGGGGCCCGACTTGCATATTTTAGACTGAGCACTCACTGGGTGCAAATGCTTTTCAGACTGCCTTTTGCTTGCTCCCTCAACCCCTAAATAACCCATGGAGTACGTTTAGTCTCCCCTCATTTTACACATGGGGAAAACAAAGGTCGAAGCCTGCAGTGAATAGCAGGACTCAAGCTCAGGTCATCCCAGCTCCAAGCTAAGCCTGGGGATGACATCTCCTCTAGGAGGATCAGTTCTTCCTGAGCTGAGGCGGTTTCCATCCTCAGGCTGGGAGCACCCAGGGGAGGGGGTACATTTCCTGCATCAAACTGGGAAGCTCCCTGAGGGCAGGGGCTGTGTCTCTGTGGACTAAAATCTCACCCTGAAAAGCAGCCATCATGGTGCCTCCTCCGCCAGACCATGAAGCCCCTGTTTAGGAGCTGCCTAGACCAGAACCTAGACAGGGAGTCTGCGCAGGCTTGACTCCTCGGGCTTGTCCTCCGACTTGACTTTGAGCAAGCCAAGGTGGACAGAGGACACCATTCTGATCCCTCTTCTGCCCTTGCTGGCCCTTTTGCAGAGTACCAGCCTTTTTGCCCAATGCAGCTCTGCTCCTGTGACAAGAAGCTTGTCCACTGCCTGAAGAGAAACCTGTGGAGCTACAACCGTGATTACCAGTTTACTCTCAACGCCTTCTGCAGTTAGTCGCCCTCAGTGAGCAGCCACACACACCGAAGCCAAACTCTCCTACAGCACAGGGGTTGTGCTATGCAGGATGCCCAGAGCACACTCTTTCTCTGAGTCCCCCTGGGGTGGGCGGAGTGCCGTGGCCACACTTCACCCTCCAGAGGATTCCAGAGTAACTCTGGTTGATGGCTTGGAAAGGCCCCAGGTCTCTGGGCCTCCGCATGTTCGGTCAGCCCCCCAGGAGCCAGGGCTGCATTTCATTTTAAATTTCTGTAATGAGATTATCACCACCCGCTCCAGGGAATCTTCACTCAAGTAGAAGCGAAATTGACTCCATAAATCTGCTACACAGATATTAAATAAAATTCATTCCCAAGGCTAATAAAAATCACACAGCTATTTTCTCTGCTGTAGAGGTTCGCCTGTGTCTCTTTCTCTGCCATCAAACCCTAAGGTCGACAAATTCATTGTGTTCTCTGACAGACAGAGGGAAGAGGACTAACAGAGGGAGCGTTTTTGGAATGGGCTTCAGGCCTTCTCTTGGGCTCACTTCCTGCAAGCCCAGCGCTGGGCCTTACTGCTCTGCCGGAGGATGCAGGGAAGATAAGTGGCCGCCCAAGTCCTGCCAACTTGGGCTTCTGGGCAGAGCCCAATCCCAGATGGCTTCTCCGGAGACAGGGCTTTGGGTCCATTACTGAACTTCTCTGATTTTCAATCTCTTTGAGCAAGCAAGCGTCGTGTTCCTCGCAAGGTAAAGTGAGACTTAACAGCCACTTTCATGTGGATTCAAGGGATGCTGAGGCTCTAGGATTTCATTACACCAGAGGTTCGTTTTTGTTTTTAGCTAGGATTCAACTATGGGGCTTATTTTTATCAAGTAAGGACTCTTAAGTACCCAACTCATCTATCAGTTTACAAAAGAAAAAGAGTTCTGATACCAAGACTGTTACAGGGGGAGAGGTCATATTGCAAAACAAAAGAGAATCCTTTCCAAGAAAGGATGTTTGGCTTATGTCCACTGACATAGCCAAAAATAACCCCATGATAAATGGGATCCATACGTAACAAACCTTCAGTGTCGAACATTCTCTAAATAAAATTTAATTACAAGATTACCCTAAATATACCCGTGTTTTGATATAGACTCAGTGCTGCATTTAACGATGCAATACAGAAGGGAGCTCAGATGCCCAGTTTGCTCAGGAATTTTTTAAAGATCAAAGCCACATCCGAGATCCAGTTTTGAGGGCCAGTTTTCTCCAGTTGCAACATTCCGGGTGATGAGAAGAGGCTCCAGGAGAAGCTTCCTCTCTTCTCCCATCAGGGCTCCGTGACAGGCAGGGTGGGCTATTGCTGGTAAGTTCTGCAGCAGGGGCTGTGTACCCGCTGGGTCACCGGGGATCCCAGCTCAGAGCCCGTATCCAGGCAGCTCAGACCAGCAGGGGATGCAGTGTCACCGTGAGACTAAGAAACACACAGCCATGGTCTAGTGGGAAGGACCATTGCGCACCTTTATTTATGCAGTAGGTAACTGGGGACCAGAGAAATCAGGAGACTTTCCCACAGTCACACAGCACATCAACAGGAGAAATCGGATTAGACCTCAGGACCTGGCCATACTAACCCTTGGGATCGGCCGACTCTCCCACACTGTGTTCCGCCCCAGAATGAAGAAAGAGCACAGAAGTTCGGGGACTCGCCCACCTTGGGCATTCTCTCTGGATTCCATTCAGGAGCCAGCTCCATTTCTTCTCTGTCCTAACGGCCTGTTTGGATCCCAGAGGTCGTCTCTGGGCAGACGGTCTGTATTGGGCTCTAGGCTTCATCCTTCCTGGAGGAAACTCTGGAGGACCCACCCTCACTCCTGTGAACAGCCCTGGGGAAACAGCGCTGGACTGTCTGGTTCACCTATCCCTGGCCAGGAGGAGCACATCAGAGACACCATCCCTCCAGAGTTGCACAGTTCATGTCCTTTGCTTGCATCTGACCTGGCCTTCAGATTCAAATGCGACCCTGCAGCACGTGTAACACGATCTGTACAAGCAAGTGCGCATCGGTGGGGGGACAGGGTTCTCACAATTCCCAAACCGAAAAGGAGCCAAACAGGAAGCTACTGGGGGAGACAGAGCCAGGAGGACAGAGCTCAGGCAAGCTGATGTGGTAGCAGGTGGCCTGGGTCCTCCTCTGTGCCCTCTACTACCTAGATGTTACCAGCTGCCCTGTGAGTGGGTGTTCTCATCCCCACAGCAGGAGCGGAGGGAGGCGCAGGGAGCTAAAGTGCTTTGCCTGAGGCCACGTAGCTAATAAGGAAAACAGGTGGTAAAGAAGCAGCAGGCTGCCTGATTTCCAAAGCTGTGTTCCTAGGCTGCGGGACAGATGGCATCACACGGGGAAGCTGGGAACCTGGGGCCAGGTCTTGCGACAGACACTGAGGGAAAACACATTTTGCTTTGTTCAGAATGGGTGTGGTGAGTTCCGATGGTGTAACTTTAGCTTAAATTCCATTTCCCAGAATTCCTTTCTCTGCAAAGTTCTGGGTTATCGGGGCCAGGGAGGTGCTCTGTACAAGATCTGGGAGGCAGAAGGGAAGTACAGCGGTCTTTTCTTGCACTTGGAAGGTCAGAGGGAGGCAGATCTGTTTGCAGCTGGGACGTGTTGTCGCAACCTGGCTTGCCTTCCCCGCAAGAGCCTGCTGGGTCTGTTCCTTTGACTTTTCCAAATGTTGGGCCAGGTGTGCGCTTGTTCCTCAGACGAGAAAACCAGCTTCTCCATGCGGTGCGGAACAGCCAAGCTGGACGCTGAAGCCCATGTGGTTTAGCCTGTCCTCTGGGTACCACCCGTCTTCACAGGTTCCCGTTTGTCCTTGGTCACTACCTTTCACATCCTGCTTCCCAACCCAACGGTCTGCCCTGCTGACTTTGGGCTGTAGAGAAAGAGCTTCACACTCTTAAGCCAGCTTTCCCACTGCCCAGCACCAAACCTTACTTCAGTGTTTCACCATAGACAGGGCCCCTGTCCCTGCCTGGGTCCTCTGATGACACAGAATTTGGTATAACGTGGTTCCCAAGAGACAGAGCCTAAAAGTCTGGCTCCCTGATTTGCTTGAGTGAGCTGGGCTTGGCTGTCTTATTTGATTAAAGGCATGGATGGCTGGTTGTTGGTGGTAATGGGGACAATGACCTACGCAGCCTGCAGGGATCAAACAGTTTCTTCCACTATCACCTCAACACACAGAGTCAAGGGCTTTGACTCTGGTGCCTCTGGGAAGTTGATGTCATAAAGCATTTCCATGGAAATAAAAGTAATATGGGGTTGGAGAAGTAGAAGAAGAAAGCAATGAGCTTGAGCCCTTAAATTCTCACTTGAGATTTGCCTAAGGGACCGGAAGACTTGCTCACCTGTGTGGGAAGACGATGGAAGCTGTTAGAGGAGCTAAGATGACTAATCTGTAAGATTTTGGCCATGTGCGGCAGTGCAGGCCTGTACTTGGGAGACTGAGGCAAGGGCACAAGGCATTACAAGCCAGCTTGTTTTAATTAACTGAAAGGCAGGCAGGCAGGCAGGCAGGAAGGAAGCTTCCGATTACAGTGGCTGTTCCAGAAGTGGCTTTCTGGTTAAGCACATCAACGCATTCCCCTGCTCCCGCCCGGCTTTGTGACTATTCACCCACAGAAGGACTTGTTTTTCTATAGCTGTTAGTCAAACCATCAGAAGTCCTTGCTTTCAGCTTCTGGGGCCCGTGATCTTCCTCCACTTTCCTATTGCCCAGAGATATCAGCTGTCGGACCTGATCGCGATCCAGCCCCCAGGGTCCTCGATCATCTCTCTACACACCCGACATCACACTGGTCTAGCTCCTCGGTGACAGGGTGCTGGATGCACCTGGTAATCAGGAAAAAAGGGCTACTTTAGAGTCAGTGGCAAACCTTTACTCACGTGCTTTAGAGGGAAATATACTCCCTCAAGATACAGGGGCCTGCTGCCTCCACAGCATTTCTAGGGGTTCTAGGGCTGGGGGGGTGTCAAGATGCCTCTTTCAAGGGGAAGGACAAGAACCAGCACCTGGTCTTTCCCTTCACTGATAAGGACACATAATGAACACCCTGTGGGCCCTTTGCGCTTTGGAGACTTATGGCTCCTCTGGTTGTATTACTTCAACCCATGACATGAATGGCTGGCATAAAGTCGGACATGCAGAGCAGCAGTTCCACCACCAAATGGGTGTGAGATTGAGCTGGAACGGGTCCTGAAGGTACAAGTCATTTGTGTGAACGAGGGGCCAGATGCCACGTGCGCTACGCCTGTCATGTTGTTTCTTCCTGCTCCTTGACCTGTACATTTGACTTCATGGGCAAGTTCCCTGTGGCCAGCTGCCTGGGGACTTGTGTTACAGACATATGCTGGCGCTCCCTGCAAGTGGACGGCTGTAGCATGATAGTCTCAACCCCTGGGATGGCCCAACTGTTTGCATAGTGTGAGTTAATGTAGTTAATCTTGTATCTCAGAGCTTCAGTTAGAGGTTATCAAAAGGTGACTGTGATGATTGGAGTCACACTGGAATAGAGATGAATATCAATTGGGCCGGGAATTTAGCTCAGGGGCACCAGGCCTTCCTTGCAAATGCAGGGTCCTGAGTTCAATTCCCCCAGTGCCAAAAAAAAAAAAAAAAAAAAAAAAAA